TGGCTGGGGGGCTGTGTCAGGGTGTAACAGGGCAGGAATCATGGCTGGGGGGCTGTGTCAGGGTGTAACAGGGCACTGAGCAGTGCTGGGAGAGGAGAGCAGTGAATAAAGACAGAAGGAAGGAATCCCCTGCAGGAGTGTTTTCAAATCCTTTAGTGCACATCCTTTCTGCAGGGCTGTGCCCTTGCTGTTGGGATTGGTGTGTGTGCCAGCCATGGGATGGGGCTGCAGCTGGGCAGCCTCTCCTCCCCTCCCTCCCATGGGGCTGTGTCTGACACTGCAGCACCAGCACTTCACAATGGAATTGCTGTTTATAACACAGCATATTCTAATCAGACAGGGAATTACGTGGAGAGATAATGTGTGTAAAACACTGAATATCTTGGACATGAGCAGCTTTTCCTGGGAATCACATGCTGTGATGAGGGAAATAAAGCTCGGGAGCAAATATTTAGAATACCTGTATCTTTATTTTAATTCAAGAAGACTGGCTAAAAATAGCAACTGAAAGTTTTTCCCCAAGTGTGAGAAGAATCAATGTGTGTAACTGCAGTGTAGTGTCTGTGAGGGTGCACCAGTCCTCTAGGATGGCACTGTCAGAAAAGGTTTAAGCTTTAGGGTCATGTTATATTTTCACCTTTCAGTGCTACGATGTTTATGCAGATGAACTTAGAAATTACAGACCTGGTAAGACATTTACTGCAAAAGGACTTTTGTATTAAATATGTTTGCAATCGTAAACATACTGTGTGATTTTTTCTCAACTTCCCACTTTCTCAAAGTTACCTGTACTAGTCAGTATAACTCAGTCTGTTCCTGTGAAGCAATCTTTGTTTATATTGTCCAGTCTACTGCATTCAAAAAGCTTTAGTGGCTCCTTCTTGTTCCTTTTGACCAATAAATATGTAGGAATGGTATTATTTCTCTTTAGGAGTGTTTAAGATTCACTGTGGTCTTATTACCTTTTTTCTATTTCTCTGTGTTAGTGTTCTTTGTGTAATTTGAATTAAGAGGAGTCTGTTGTGTGTTTTTCAGGTTCAAGCCATTTTTTCCATTTCAAGTATTGCCAGCTGATGAATACGAAGATCGAGACCTCTGTATACAGGATTTTCTATTGACAGAAGGTCGACTAAAAGTCACGTTAATTGAATGTACAAGGTATATTTTTGTGCACTTTTGCTCATTGCTGACTAAGAAAGTACCCGTGTTTCCTCAGTTTGTAGTTATTACAGCTGTAGGCCCATTCTGATTCACCAAGAATCAGCTTTGGTGTTGTGATTGCACTCTAATCATGAAATGTACTTTTTTAAAATAAGAATGAACAAATGAAAGTTATAGTTAGTTTCTGAGGCACTTCTGCTTTGTGTGGGCACAAGCATTTGCCTTTCTTCCGAATTTTGCCTGGTTACAAGCTAATCTGTGCCTCCTGTTACTTGCTTGGTTTTGTTCAGTTGGTTTTTTACACCAAATTGAGTCTCTTTCCAAGACAGTATAAATGTTGTAATTATCTTGCTGTATTATGTAAGCAAGGGGAAATAATTGTTTCACTCAGTTTTACTTAGATAAATCCAAATCACTTTTATAAGGCATTATTTATGGTCCTTGTCTTGAACAAAATAGTGGAAAGAAATAAAATTTACTTCCTTCATTCATTAAAGAGAAAATGATTCTCTTCAAAGCTGGAGAAAAGGTGTGTGGGCTCTTGGTTTGTTTGGGGTTTTTTGTCAGACCTGTTTCTGCCAGTTGACTGCTGGTAACCTGCTGCAAGGTGAAATCTCAGTATGGCTCATTGTTTTTTTGTGACTTTCATGTTACAGTTCTGGCTGAAAATTGTTTTATTCTTGTTTTGAGCTATTTCATGTCCTTATTCTTCCGTCCAGTCCAAGACAGCTAAATAGCTACTGTGCCGATATTTTCAAGGGATAATAAGTACCCCTGGAAAATTCCCTGAGAATGTGTCTAAGTGACCAGAAGATGAAATGTGTGCAACCAGTGATCAGCTGAAAAGCTTTAATGAATTGTCTGATAGCAGTGAGACACTGAGGAAAACCTGTTTCACTCAAAAGCAACTCCTGAAAGCAAAAGGGAAAAGCCACCGCAGGGTTGCTGGGGATGGTTTACAAATAAGCAAACAAGGGAGGAGTTTGTCAGTTCGAGTGCCCTTGAACAAGCTTAGTCTTGTCCCAAGTACCCAATTGGCTGGTTGTGAGGCTGGGTTTGTGCTCACAGTAATCACATCCATGGTGCTGAAGGTCAGGCTGGCAGTGAGTTGGCAGCTGCTGTCTGCAGGGTTACACTGGAGCATCTGAAGGTGGGTCACAGATACAGCCACCAACTCTGAGCCCAAACCCACAGTGTCAGTCAGGTGTGTGACAGGGTGTGTGCAGGGATCGGGCACGAAGAACCTGGGTACCAACCCAGGCATGGCCTTCCCCTGCCATCTGCCCCCTGCATTCAGGGGCACAGCTGAACACTAGTACATAAACTCTTCAGAGAGGGACACAGCAAAGAAAGATGTTTGTCTCTCCCCCTGCTGCAATGCCAGCTGGAGAGGTGTCACAGCCAGAGAGGTGATTTCCCTTCAATTGGATTCATTGCACTGGTTCTAGCTGTTGGTGAAACTTGTTTTCAATAGCTTTACTTAATGTTCAAAGTATGTTTACTACAGATCACCACATCTGGAAGATTGGGGACTTCCTGATTATAAATATTTAACCTAGAAACTTCATTTAAGTGTCAAGATAAACAGATAAAATTGACATGTTTTTCTGACAGCTTTTGCCTCTGTCATCTAAAGAGTTTCGTGTAACGCATCACAGTCACAAATGAGATGCTTTGAATGACAGCTTAGAAACTGCTCATGTCAAATGGATGTAGAAAGTTTAGAAGGGAGTTAAAATCTAACAGCTCTTTTGAATAAGATTTGCTTGACATTTTTATTCCAAAATATTTATCTGCTTTCAGCTACTGTGAGATAAGCTGTGAACAAGCTGGGATTGCTCTTCTATAGCCTAAAGTTTATAGGTTTGGGGTTTTTTTTTCTTTTCTAGTACTGATATCTGCCTGGAAAGCTTTGTAGCCTTCTGGAATAGGGGATCGTCCCTGAAGAACCACTCTTTTGTTATGAATGTTACAAAGAATTACAGATATGAGGATCCCAGTTTAGTGAAATAGAAATATAAGCAGTGGTAAACTGTTAAACTTTAGATTAAACTTTAATCTACACTCGTGTTCTCTTAAACTAAGAAGAGCTTCAGTACATTGTGAAGTTTAGGATTGAAATGGAAGACTCTTGCAGCTATTTTTGCTTTTCTTAAAATAAAAAATAGTTCTTTACGGAAAAAATGCTAGTCTGCTGATTGAACACTCTATTAAAAAAGAGAAAAGAGAGTACAGAGCAGGAAAAAATGCAACTCAAAAAAACCCTAGCTAAAAATTTTCTCATATTTTATATTTTTGGAGTCCTTCCACTAGAGGGTGGCAGTGTCTTTCCTTTGGTGTTAGGCTGTGCCTGTGGAATCTGTTCTGGGTGGACTTCTCTCTGTGTACACATTGATGATAATAATAATAGTGTGTAAATGAAGAGTGGTGAGTATGTGGGATATGTGAGTATCTGGGGTATGTGTAATAGTATCACAAGTCTTATGATGGGCTTTTCTGTTTCAGGTTGTTTATGTTTGGATCCTATGAAAGAGAAACAAATGTTCATTGCACAATGGAGCTGAGCAGTAATGTTTGGGAAGAAAGATCAAGAAGTTCTATTAAAACGGTAAAACACGGAGTGTAACCTCTGCATGTTGCTGTTTGTCTTAAGCTCTTAATACATTGTCTAGAAAGAGTGTTCTTTAGGCAGTGAAATGGGTGATATAACAGGAAAAAAACCAAACCAAAACATAGCAGAGCAGTTATTTAGTTTTTAACCCAAGTATTTCCCTGTCAGATTGGCATGTGTGGGTAACATCATGTTCAGCTGTCCCAGCTGTGCCTGAAGCTGGGCCTGGTTTGTAATAATATTGATGGTATTGTAAGTTAATCTTTTAGTAATTATTACTCTTGATAGCATGATGCATACAGCCTACAGATTGCCTGTCTTTTTTGTGTGTGTGAGGGTGAAAATGACCTTTTTTTTTCCTTCAGACAAGAGGTGTGATATGTGAAAGAGCCTTTCAGTTTTACATTAGAGGGATATTGTGGCAGTAATCAAATTGAATTGGGCTTGTGCTGAGCAATAAGTAACGTGCTTAGTGAAGAAAAACCCTGGAAGCTTTAAAAACACTTCATGTTAACAGTTGGTTTCCTAGATCACTAGAATAAAAGTTTATGTCCTGCATTTTACCCTCTGCTGTCTGAGTTCAACTGGCTTAAGCCCTGTGCCTTTGTTATATCTGACTGGAGTTGTGTTTGGAGACCAGCATCATTTTTCCACTGGAGCAGCAAGAATCCAGGATTTCAGCATCTCATTCAATTTTCTGCTTTGCATTGTTTTTAAAATCCTTGTAACAGATGCCGTGATACTTGTTTCCAGCTTGCTGTATATTATGTTTTGCCAAAGAGGGTGTATGGCTGAGCAATAGACAGAAGGCTTCTTTTTTAGCTGCTGCATTCTTAGTGAAATGAAGAACTCGAAGGGAGGGGAGAGGTTCACTTGTGCTGTCTCAGGAAGCTGTGACTCGAGTGACAAACAGCTTGGGGTGTGCCAGGGCCAGGGGCAGTGTGGTTCCTGCAGGGCCAGGGGCAGTGTGGTTCCTAGTCTTCATTGAAGCACTAGGCAGGAGCTAGATTTGAGTAATTTCTTTTCAGACCTTTTTGTTTAATCTGGTTCACATAGCAGTTTTTAATTTTGTTTAACTTTTAAGTTTGTTTTAATCTAAATATTTAAGGCTCTTTGCATGATCACAGAAGTGTAAAGTAGGACAACTCAGCCTTAGTCGTCTGGCCAGTTCATAGTCTTAGTACTTTCCTAATAATAATAATAAATATTTCAGAATTTTCCAGAAGGAAGCAATATTGCTGGGGTTAAAAACCAAACAAACCCCAAAACAAAAACCCCAGCCCCATCCTGCTAATACTTACTCATGTGAATGACCCTTTTTGGGGATAAACTGTGAATGGAACCATGCACAAATCTGCAGGGTTGATGCTCTGGCAGTGAAGGTGGCAGTGCATTGGTTTACCAGCACACTTCTCTGGACAAATTAGTTTCTGATTACTTTTAGATAATGTTGAGCAGCGTTGTTAGAACATGTTCTTTTACACTCTTAGCAACAGAAGAGGAAAGGGAAAACACTGTGCAGACAATGTGGCACTGGTGTGTCTGTGACAGCAGGTGGCAGCAGGACTGAACTGTTCGAGGGTGGAATGGCTCCTTTTTGGAACTATGGGAAAGTACTCAGTTTGAGACTCTCAAGAACTCATCTGTTTCAACATCTAAAATGAAATGGCAGGTTTTTAAGCAAAGTGGCAGTTTTTAAACATTTCTGAGCTGCTAGAAATGCAGCTTGCAGTGCACAGGAGGTGTTCTCTGGGTCTGTGTGCAGTCCTTCATTAGCACTGTGTGAGCACTGCCAGAGCAGGGACTCCTGAGCTGAGCTGCTGCAGCTCTGCTCAGCTGGCACTGGGAGGAGTTCTCTGTGCTCGACCACCTGGAATTCAGGCTGCTGGACAGGTGGCTGCTCTTAAAATCCTGCTTTTGAAAATCTTGATATGAATGAAAATCAGCAACTTGCAGAACTGCTTTTTGCTCTCAACTTATATTCAACAGATGTAGAGAAATCAAGGAAATCTTCTCCATGGGAAATCAGGTTAAATGTGCAAGTTAAGATGCAAAATGTTAGGGCATCCCACAGAGTGGGAGGAGTATTGCCAAAGATCCTCAACAACAAAAGTGTTGCTGACACATTTAGCACTGGAACTTAGTTGTTTTTTTTTTCTCAGAAATTGTAACTGTGAATAGTTAAATAGCAATTTATAAAGAACAAACATTGTGATGTTTATCCAAACTAAAAGTTTACTTGCATCCCTCCTGTGATTTTTAGCCCTAAAGCAATGTTAACCATGAGGCAGCTAATGGCAATAATAACAAATCCTTATTTTAATGCACACGTGTGCAATGCTTACTCAAGATGAAGTTGTTGGAATGAATAACAACTCAGAAACTACAGAAGAGAAATGGTAGTCTAAGTTGAAGTAAAAATATGAGAGATATATTCTGGTTGAAAAGGGTCTAATTTATACAGACCTCACAAAGGCATGGCAATACATCCTCTGATTCTGACTGTGTTCTGCAGTGCTCCTGAGGAAAATTCTCATAACTTCCCATGCTCTGTGACATTTGCATTCTGTTTATTGTGTTAGTTGCAGTGATAAAAGATCAGGCAGTTTAATACATCATAATGAATTTTGGCGAGACTTTAATCTGATCCCATTATTTATGGAATATTAGTGGGTGTCACAATTGATTTTGGAAAAGGATGCTGTGTTAGTGAATCTATCTGGAGCATTATTGAAGTGTCTGTTACAATACAAAGGTGTCTCAGGCTTCTGTTTATCGAATCTGAAACACCAGTAAGACTGCAGAGAGGTGATTTGGCACATTCCCATGTGAAACATGTAAACATTCTTAAATATCTTAATTAGTAGTACATGCTGCTGGCATTTACGTTAATCAGTGCATTGCTATGTAAAAATGATGTATGGATAGGATGTAGTCATTAGCATTGGATCACTAAACAGGTGTCCTATGGGTAAATAATTAGATATGTCTAGGTAACTTGATATATGTTTGTAGATATTAGGTAGAGGCTGTATCATAAATGGGGGTGGTTATGTCCACTGAACTGCCAGTAAGCAATACCAGATTGATTTCTGCTGAAAAATCATTTTTCACACCACTGTGCATAAATGCTGGCCCACGTAGTCAGCAGCAAGAGTCTCACCAAGTGTAACAAGGCCCAGGGTTCACTCTAAAAAAATGTGCTCCAAGGAGAAACAGAACAATTCTTTCTGGTTGTAGAAATCAGAGTTTCTCTGTGCATAGAAGGAAAAAATAAATACCTTCCTTAGAACTGGCATAGGAATGGACCCAGAAATGAGCCTGAAGGTTCAGTAGAGCTGAGGCAGCTCTGCAGCCCTGACACCCTGCCCATGGACCGGGCAGTGCCCTGGCAGCTCTGGGGACACTCAGCTGTCCTGAACATGGCAAGCACTGGCACTTTCTCTGGTTCCAGCCCCCTAGAGAAGAATGAATCAGGAGTGTAGTTGTCCTGAAACAAGAATCTTGTCTCTCATGCACTGCCCTGCATATCTGTGGAGTCATGTTTCCTTTGTCTGCATACTGATTTTTCTGCCAGATAAATTGGGTTTCTACAAACGGTAGAAACTCTTGAGAAGGGATTGGTATCTTCTGATACTGTTGCACCCAGGCAGCACAAACTGTAAATGGCTTCTGCTTTTTATTGGTTTTATGAATATAAAGTAATGGGGAGAGGTGCTCAACCGCAAACCAAAATGTATCTGTTCCAAGTTTGCTCTTAAGTGGTGCTGTAAGAATAGCCACAGTTTCGTATTCCTACAGGTCATAAGTGATGGGGCTTTTTTGTTGTTGGTAGGGGGTTTATTATGATTTTTTTTGAAACCTCTTCTGTAAATATTAACTTTAGCAATACAGAAACTGCATTTCATAGTCTGCAAAGTAAAAATTTCCATCTGAAATGCCACAGCTAGTAGCCCATAAGCAGCAGTTGTCTCAGGTGCACACAAATACCCTCTGAAGTAACCTAATAATAGCAAGAATTAAAGAATTAAGATAAGCGTCCCACCACTTTTTTTAGGAACGCTACTTGATGTTTTCTCCAGGTCATTCTGAACATTGTGGTCAGCACTGAAGTGACTGAAGGGGAAGGCCTATGACACTGTCTTTCAGTATTGCCCTTGGAATTTGTGTGTGTGTGTGCATACAGATATATAGGCCATGATCTCCACTTCTGCTGGAATTATCTTGATGGATATGGCCTTTTATAAGTAAAGTTATCATTAACTTTGAATTTACTTTAGGCAGGCTCATTGGTTCCTGTTCATAAAAACAAAGCAATATTTCTCAGCCTTTCATAAAACTAAATTGCCTTTATCAGGGATTAAGGGAAACCTAAAGGTATTCCAGTGCCATAACATATGAATGTAAAATGAGAAATAACGTAAATCAAATCCAGCACCTTCTGAAATGAGTTGCCTGAAGGTACTAAACTATAATGTCAAAATTTAAAACAACTGTGAAATGTTAATTTGTAAATACATGGAGTTAAATGTCTCACAGTTGGCATTTCAGTGTGCTTATTTAACAGCCTGCCATTTCAGCATTTAATCCTATCAAAAGAAAGGAGGAGGATTAAAGCAAGAAAAGCTTTTTGAAAATGTCACTTTTTATGAAAATTCATGATCTTGTAAAACTTGATAATATTTGTAAATACTATGGGGAGTAGTTCTGAGATTTGTGCCTTACATAATATTCTGTAATCTGTCTTTCAAATAAACTTGAAGGCCATCAGGATTTTTCAGTCTCATCCTAAACATTTAAGCTTTTTGACGTGGGGCTTCAGAAAGCTTTACTGTGATTTAATGAACAACCTTCTGTGAAAATGCACTGTAGTTCTTTATGGCTTAGAGATGTTGAATATGAACATTAAAAAACAAACAAACCAACCAACCAAAACAAACAAACAAAAACCAAACAAGAAAACACTAACAGAGCTTTCTTTTTTTTTTTTCCAGTGT